TATAATAAACATGATGCATAGTGTTCCAAACTGCGCCTGGTACTTGCAATAAGCACGAGCTCTGAGTTAGCCCGGCTATTGTCCCGAACGCCAGCACAAGAAAAGCAGGAGAAGTCAATCGGCCAGGAGGAGAGGTGCATTTACACAGAGCAAGTCGAGACAAGAGAGTGCAAGTCAAGCAACCCACTCTCACAAAAAGGTGGCGGGGTATTTTTTACGTCAGCGACAGGGATCAATCTGTTTGGACGAAAAATCGATAGCTACGGCACACACTCTCATTATAGCGACTAGGAGTTGCACTCGGGAATCTTTCTGTAAGATGAGTGATCGTAGGAAGGGGCGCATTCCCAAAACATAGGAGGGGTGGTGGCGCGTTCATGCGCAGACTTAATGCTTTGTCAGTAGTTTGGCCTAATCCCAACATTACCTAGTCGGATGGGTGACAAGCTTGACACCTAAACGTCTTGTGTCGTCGCTGTCGAATGACGGCGGTGCTTTCTTAGCAGCCTATATCTGCCTCGATCCTCCTCAGAAACCTACAGTGTTTAGTTGTTCACAATAGCTCAGATGGACACAGATAGTTTAAACTGTGTCTCAATCGATCCCTACATCCGAACGATGCGCTGACTTCTGCTTGGATAAGTTTGCCCTTCGAACCGACCGCGGAAAAATCTACCTATGTCAAAGGGAAAATCGAAAATCCATAAATGACCGATTTTTTATGAATCCAAACTATTCAAACTATGAAACATTAATAGCAAACTATACAACTTCTCTATTTTTAATTCAATATTATTGTACCTTTAAATGCAGGTTTTTTCACCTAAAACAAACTCCCAATTCCACACATAAAACCCCAAAAAAAGCCAATATTAACTGCAAATGAAGGAGTTTGTTTTAGTTTTTTTTTCCTATTTTCCAACGGTTTTAAGGGCGCCCAAGATGTGCCTTACCAATAAATCTTATTATCCGATGGCTGACAGTGGACTGGTGCCTGGGGAAAGGGGGGGAGGTGGATTAAGGTTTTGAGAGGGAGTAGACGCGATTGTTGGGACAAGGGGTGACACTCATATGAGTCGCTGTTTACTTGAACCAGGGTTTACGGGCCCCCAGTCTATCACTAATTACAATCTCCTCCGTAA